TAATTTCCCAACAGTGCTTGGTCACATTTCCTTTTAAAGTTTCAACATGCAGAGATAGCGTGAACACCACACTTGTTAAGATTGCATAACAATTATCCAAAACAAGCCTGCACCACATCTTACCCTATATTTTATATGTTATATGCATCACACACACGTTAGAAGCTCTTTGATTGGGTTATAAATGCTTATCCTCAAAATTCATTAGTATTAGAAAGTACCACCTGGGACTTTTCACTCCATTCTCAGCTAAGCAGCCCAGCCACACAAATAGCTATCTACAAACGCACTGCCCTGTGATCGTGTCTTATCCTATTTCCCCTTATCGGTGTGATTCACCCTGCTGTTCTCCAGGCTTCTGTCAGCCCACTGGGGTGCTCCTTCCTTTGGAAACTCCCCTTTCCACTCTCTCTGCTAATCACCGGCAGTCCCCCTGCTCAGATGTTGCCCCCTGGCATACTCACCTGCTCCTTCACTTAGCAGGAGAGATCAAGTCTCTACCGCTTTAGTCTATAAATAGTCACAGGTGCCCACTGCCTACTACACAGCAGGGCTAAGTGCTAAGGAAGCATGAGTCAGAGAAATGGACGTGGTCTTTGTACCTTCAAGCTTAGCTTTGTGGGGGACAGAGATGTTACTCAAAGAATCACACTGATATGGTGAGTATGATAATGGGGTGCGACGGGAGCGTATTACAGCAGTCCTATGCGGTTGGGCGGAGAGAGGCAAGGCTCTTTGGGCTGTGGAGCTGAGATCTGAGGGTGATGGGGAGTGAGCTGGGGAAGGGGAAGGAGGCAAGGGGAGGGGACAGGCCAAGGCTCGGAGGAAGGGAGGGAGGGAGGAAGCACGCCGTGGGCCGGGAAGTGATGAGGGGTGGAGCCAAGGGGTTCAGGGGTAAGGAGGAGAGATCTGACCCAGAGAGCGAGGGGCCTTTCAATCCTTGGGGTATCAGCATCGCCCCACCTGACTTGGGGGGACAGGCGGGTGATGGCCGGGACTGCTGCCCTCTCCTCTGCCTCCAGCCTCACCCAGGGGCCACCAAGCGACAGCTAGATCTTGCTGCCCTGCTCCACCCGCTAACTGCAGTGGCCCCAGGGAAGGCTGAGCACAGCCCTGGCCCTGCCCCTGGGGCTGTGCAACCAGCCTCAGTTTGAATCCTGGTGCTGTGTGGTCCTGAGCCAGTCAGTGACCCACCTGGCCCTCAGGGGGGCGGGAACCACACTGTGCAGGGCCCTGGGGCCCATGCCCTGACCTTGGACACACCTGTGAACAATGTGGAGGTCTTGGCAGCGTCTGGGCAGAAGAGGCGTGATTTAATTGTGTGAGTAGCTCACTCTGACCACAGCGTGGAGAATAGATTAGATGACTCTAGATTGTGTCTTGTGTTGCTTGCTGTGATGGGAACCGAGGAGGGGAGCTATTTGGGGAGAAAAGGTCATAATTCAGGATTGATGCATCTAAGATGCCTTTGAGGCATTCAAATAGACACACTAAGTAGGCAGATAATTATATATTTGGAGTTCTAAGAGAGCCCTGGATTAAAGACGTATATAAAATGGTGATTAAAGCCAGGGGCGTGGCTGAGATCGCCCAAGGAGACAGAGCCAGCAAGAAGGGAAAGGGAACTAGGATGGTCTAAGACGGGTTATGACATTTAAAGTCTGAGGGGGATTAGTCAGCGAAGGACATTGGGAAGGAGCTGCCAGGAGGGAGGGCCGGAGAGTCGAGGGTCCGAGGTGCTGGACCCTTTCAGATGTGTGTTGCTGAAATCCATTCTCAATGATTTAAGCAAAGTAATAATGATTATGATAATAACTGTTGACTCTTAGAGCCTAAACACAGGACTAGTCAAACATGCTTGGGTCAAAGTGCTCAAACAGGTCGTCAGGAACCTGCTTCTCTCCGTCTCTCCATTCTGCCTTCTTGTGAAAGGGCTTCTTTCCCAAGTGGCTCATTGCACATGGTGGCCTGTCTAGGTTACCGGCAGAAGCTTTAGGTTCACACCCCACCTAAGGTAAAGAAGACATCTTTATTCTATGGGTTCCGGTATGAATACCAGGTATCACTATTTTTGGCGTGGCCTGGCTTATATGCTCATCTCCGACCTGGGGGTTGGCATCAGCCCAGATGGCAATGTGATGGAAAGTTCCTCAAAAGAAAATTAAGGTGTTGTTACTTGAAAAAGGGGGAGATGAAGTCAGACAGGCAAAACTCCAGAAGCATGTTAAATCTTAAAACTCCAAAAAGGCCAGAGGGATGAATGTTCTAAGAAGGAGAGTATCTTCCAGGGTATTAAATACTATGAAGAGATCAAATAAAATGACAACTAAAAATGCCCATGGGATTTAGCCACCTGGAAGTCACTGTGGCCTGAGATTCACACAAATGGCTCCATTACAAAGTATGGGAGTGGAAATCATAATGCAAATAGAAATGGCCATGTGAACTCAGGAGAGAGAAAGCACTTAGCATTCAGGCAATCAAGGAAAGCTTCATATACGAGGTAGCATTTAAGATGGGCCCTGAGGATGGGTAATATTTTAAAAACTATCATTTTAAAAGAGTTCACATTTGGTCTCAGGGTTAGGGGTCAAAAGTGAATGCTAGCTAAGGAAAAGGGGACTTTGTTCAATGTACAAGTTATTCAACTATTACCAACATCCCTTCAGGTCACCAGCCTGAATTTGTAATGAGGGATAGCTGTCAGTCTAATGGAACTCAGATCCCACCTGGGAAAAGCATCTCTTCAGAACCTGCCTTTCCTTCTAAGGAGTCTCGGGGTATCTCACATGTGAACTCAACAGCAATCCTTTCCCTCCAGCTCCATCTCCTTTGAGCCTTGATCTCCCCTGTAACTCTCTGGGTGGCCTGGGCTTTTGGTGCTGATGTCACCATCATGGCTGCCTCTACCATTCAGGTTGCTGCCTCTGTGGTGAGGATCTGGCTACTTAGCCTTCTGGCTTTGACTGCAGCAGAGGAATTGTTGGTGTCAGATGGTCACCTCTGGGACAGCTGCTCTGGTCTTCCTCATTGTTCACCTGATTCACTTCCTTTTTTTTTTATTAAGGTATCATTGATATACACTCTTACGAAGGTTTCACATGAGCAACATTGTGGTTACTACATTCACCCATATTATCAAGTTTGCCCCACACCCCATTGTAGTCACTGTCCATCAGCATAGTAAGATGCCACAGAGTCACTACTTGTCTTCTCTGTGCTCTACTCGCTTCCCTGTGACCCCCAGACACACCATGTGCACCAATCATAATACCCCTCAATCCCCTTCTCCCTCCCTCCCCACCCGCCCTCCCACACCCCTCCCTTTTGGTAACAGCTAGTCCCTTCTTGGAGTCTGTTCTGCTTTGCACCTGACTCACTTCTTATTTCATCTTCCCTTCACTTTTCATCCCAAGAAGCTGGCACTAGAAGGGGAAGTAGGGATGGGGACTTTTTGGATGGAAGATAATTTAGGTGATTCTGCACTGTATACATTATCAAGTCCCCACCACATACCCCATTGTAGTCACTGTCTATCAGCATAGTGAGAAGTGGGCTTTTCTTAATGGAAACATTATAAAGAAGCAAGTATATACAAGTTTTATGAATAAAGAGTGAGGTGTTAGAATTACATGCCCCCAGTCTTTTTCTGATTTCATTTTGTATAAACTGTCTCCTGGGATGAAATGGTGAGGGCTCTGCATTCCAAGGCTTCTAGAAATGCTAGTGCCAGTGTTTTATCTCCTCCCAAAGAAAGGCAGAATTGTAAGGCGGCAAATGTCTGACCACCTTGGCATGCAAAGCAAGATTTTCCAAGGGTTTTCTCATACTTATTTCCAAATATCTCCTCCAGCTTTTTGCTTATTTCCATTTTTTGTTGCCCTTTCTCATACAGAAGTGGATGATCACATATGTTGTACCTGTTTACACAGATCCATCCACTTCGGTTCTTTGCTTCTGCTTTAAAGGGAGGTCCACGATGGTACACTGAGTACCCCCCTCTCTCTAATACATGTTTATCCCCCTCAGAGAAGGGGGAATACTTCTTCGGTAAACATGAGTATCTGGGGGGAAGGACTGGGGAAATCAGTACAGTATAGACTTGTCATGAGGGTGCAGGCCCTTCCTTATTGAGACCCAGCTCTCCTCTATCAGTGGGCTCCAAGTCAGGGAACTGGCTCTGATCTGGGCACTGGGTCAAGGATCAGGCTTCTCCACTGGGCTGGCTGACCCTAGTCTTCTGCTCACCTTTTCTTGATCTCTTTTGAATATGTCCTTGTTGGTTGCCTATCTATACTGCCTCCAGGAACATCATATGCTTTGAGCCATCTTCGTCCTTGCTGCCTGCCATGGAAATTATACCCATCTTCTTCTGACAGTTAAATGTTGCCATTTGGGTCTTTGCTATTCTAAGATCTTATTATTTCCATTGCTACTGGGGGCCAAGATGGGAAATGGCATTTTCTATGGTCCGTTCTGCCAACAGAGGACAGCCCTCTTGAGTTTGTCAATGAGGCTAGTGTCCCCTCGCCAGTGTGCATAGTGGTCATAGGCTGCCCTCCAGGTGGTACAGGGCACACAATGGTCAGCTGGTGGGGTTGGATCCCTTCTAGCATGCCTACTTCTCTCAGCCTTTTTGACCCCTCTTTCCACAGCTTACCACTGTAGTACTAGCATCTCCAGTTTATTTAACATGCGCCATCACTTCTAAGATTTTAAAAGGCATCTAAGTAGAGTACTGGAAGTGTCAGCTGGGACGTTTAGCAGGGCGTTAAATTGTGTATCATGGCCAAGTGTCCCATATCACAAAACTCACCCTCATATGTGTGTTTTATCTGCTTCAATCCTGCACCCCAAGGATCATCTCCTTCCACACTCCCCCAATTCCTGTTATTCTTATTAGCCAGGTCCTGCTGCCACTAGGGCTTATCATCTCTTTCCTCCCTTAGCAAACCCTCCTTCCTGGTTAAGTTATACTGAGATTTGACCCTTAGTTCCAGTGGCCAAGAGAAGTCATGGGAGCAGGTCCTGGAGGGCAAGCATTGCTTTTTAAGACTCCTGCTTCACTTGGGCCCCTCCGCATAGTCTTTAAGAAAGCAGGAGGAAGGGGATCTATCTCTGTGTGGCACCAGAAGTTTCCAGAGAATTTGAAGATTCAAGGTTTTCAACTGAATCTACCCAGGTAACTCATCCCAACTCTCAGGATCCCTCTCAGTTCCCTGAGGGACCTGACTTTGGCTTAGGAGACTAGCCCAGGCTGAGAATTCAGCCTTTTCTGGAGTTCTGCTGCTCTGAAGTCCTGTGCCCTTTTTTTGTGGGTTAGGGGGTGTTATATTTGCCCTCTGACTACAGGGCATCAGAGTCTCTTTAAAGGCTGCTAAAGAGCCCCTGATTCTCATACTTTGCTTTAATTGTTAATTAATAAATCTGAGCCTGTCATTTTCTCTTTTCAGTGAATCAATGGTACCTAGCAATGACCACCCAACTCAACAGCCCTTATAATTAATGATGTCCTTCATATCTCTTAAGTGCCTGGGACATTGCACCAGCTAGTATATCCCCGCCTCCACCCATTTCCACGTCATCTTAGTTCGTCACACGTGAAAGTCTTTATTTTAATCATATTTAATCATATGTATTTTACTCAGTCTATCTTTTAATCATATTTATTTTTATAGGCCTTTTCAAATTGTTCTGTTTCCTTTGGTTCCTGGTTCTGCATAGCGTGGCTCCTCCTCCTGACAGCTGGTTTCCTTCGGTGAGTGTAATATTTTACTGTGAATTAAGCCACTGTCAAGTTCTTTTCTGTGGAAGTCTCCTTTGAGCTGGGCTGTCTTTATGTCCTGCTCTGCAGAGATCCTAGGATTCCTGTCTTCCCTGGGCCAGTTTTTGTTCATTCCTATCCCAAGCTGGTATTGCAAATTCAGGTGCCACAGCCAATGACTTAGGTTTCTGACGATCCACAGGCGATTCTCTTCATCCGGCACCCAAGAGATGCTGCTTGGGTTTCCGGGGGGAGCTGGCCAGGGTTCTCCTTCACAGAATACTTGCAGAGAAATGGTGCTCTGTTTCCCCACCTTGCCTCCCAACGGTCTAAGGCTTTGACTGCCCTGCTTCTGTAAAGATGTTGAAACATCAGCCTGGAGCCTGGAAGACCCATGCCTGCATCTGTTGGCCGTTTGGCTTTCATTTCATTTTGCCCCTGTGGGTTTTGGTACCTGCTCCTTTCTCAGCCCCTGGAAATTTTCCTTTCTTTGGTTTGAACTCAACTATGCATTACACAAATCATTTTTGTTTTGTTTTATCCAGCACTTTTAAGTGTTCTTAGCAGTAACATGGACTGAACTTGTTAGCTAAATCTACCACATTTAATGGAAATTATACCAGTTTATCTTCAGAAAGCATGCTGGTGAGTCCACCGCAGTCACAGAGAATTTTATGGACAAACTCAATGGATAATTTCAGATATTATAACCACAAAGTAGGGCAAATTTCCCTCAAAATTTAGGACAGGATGTCCACATCTTTTCACTCAATATGTGAACATTATATTTTCCTTTATGGTGAAAGGAAACACTATTTCTCATGGAAATAATGACGTTCATATATTCATTATTCCTAAAACTCACAGGATCATTAACGTGACAGCATCGTCTTGCTAGGAGTGACTGTTCAAGCTGCAGCAATATTATGTTGAGCCCTTGCTTCGTGACTAGGAGAAACTTCAGAATGACAAAATACAGAATGAGGACATATAAATAGAAACAGTTGAAAATTTCCAGATAATCTTGATAAATGAAGAAAGGAGGAAAATAGGTGTATTTCACTTGGATTTGAGGAAGAGAACTTCTGGTTGCATTTGTGTACTGAACTTAAGCCTGCCTCCAGGCACCAGACAGTGGGGAAGCTGACAGCAACAGAGCAGATCGCAAAGGGTCTGGCTGCCCTGACACTACGGCAGAGGTCATACGTATATACATTTTTTTCTTTTACATCAGAGATATTTTCAGTACATAAGGCAAGTGAAGGTTTCACTCAACTGCTGGCAGAAATGCCTACAGAAATGCCATATACTACAGTAGTATGTTGAATACCTACTTCCCATATACTACACAATTATAAGGCCATGGGGTAAGGGCCGGATCACAATATGCCTGGGGAGGTCCAGGCAGACCAGGGAAGTAGGTGATGTTTGGAAACAGGAAGAAAAAAAACAGTCATGTAAAGACACAGAGAGCAGAGCTGTGACCAAAATGATCACATATAAGACAGGAGCTGAGGCAGGCATCCAAGCGAACTGTATTTGATTTTCATTTTTATCAGATGTGTAGTTTTAGGGTTGAGAGTCTAAAAATAGGCATCACTCCATATAACCTACTCCCTCTAATTTCTTATAATTAGTTCTTAAACAGCTTGTATTTTCCTACTGTTATTTAAGGAGGGACATTAAGGACAGTCATTGAAAATGCCCCAGAAATTAAATAAAGAGGAAAGTTAAAGTCATATGCTTATATGAGTAATATACTAATAACTGTTCTACATATGTCCAAGAACATTCATTGTTTCTTGCTTTCAAAAAAGTATTTAAATACAGTTTTCCAGATGCCTCTTTTATGGGGCATTATTGATTATAAGTAAAACACAATGACCATTTATTTAAAGGCTGTGCATATTTTATTTCATTCTATATGCAGTCTGTACTTCATTATTGCATGTGTTTAATAATTTGATAGGAAATCTTCATATGAAGCAGAGCAAAGAAAAAACCATATACCACACTGTGTTTTTTTCTTCTCCTACTTTCTTAATTGCATTTTCTTCTTGTCTGAGCCGGTTTCACTGGTTTGGTCTATTTTCTCTCATTCATTTTTTTTCCTCCTACTTAAGTTCTCCTATGTATTTCTATATATATATATACATATATATGGACTCCTGGTTTTCCCATTTCTCCATTCTTTTCTGTTCTTTTGGGGCAGTTTATCTACTTTGTTTCCTCCCAGTAAGCATTTTGTTGCCACAAGGACTGATTTAACTAGTTCCCTTTTCCAAACAGTGATCCAGGGCAACAGCAGACAAAAGGATGAAGGCAGCTTTAGGATGATTTTCCACCGGGAACACTGCCTTCTGTACGTGCACTCAGCTACCAAAACACTCAGGTCCCTTTTGCCTCTAATAACCTGGCAGCATAAAGGATGTGATTCTGTATCACAGAAAAGCTCTGGCTCATTGGGTCACGACCCTCATCACTCAGGAAAAGTTCTCAAGTATAGGTCAATTCAATCCCCATCAAAATATGTAGGTTTTTTTTTTAGTTGACAAGCCAATTCTAAAATCCATATGGAAGGCCCAAGGAATTAGAATTGCTAAAATAATTTTTTAAAGAACTCCTTTTAAAAGAAGAATCCATACTTCCTTATTTCAAAACTTAGTGTTAAGCTGCAGTAAATAAGAGAGTGTCAAACTGGTGGAAGGATAGATCCATAGATCCATGGAACAGTATAGGGAGACCACAAATAGACACACATATAGATGATCAATTGATTTTTTTTTTTTTTTACAAAGATGAAAAGGAAATTTATGGCAAAAGTATAGTCTTTAAGCAAACGATGCTGGAACAATTGAATCATATGCCAGAAAAAAAAATGGAAAGAAAGACAAAGAAAAAAGGAAAAACCCTTGACTCATACTGCACACTTTGTACAAAACTAATTGAAAAGGGGATCCTAAATCTAAAGCAAGACACCAGATTAGAGGCTTGGAAAGCACAGAAACAAATCTTTGTGACACTGGGTTTGGCAACTGTTTTTTTTTTTAATATGACACCAAAAGTATGATCCATAAGGAAAATATTGATAAATTGGATTTTGTCAAAATAGAAAACTTTTTCTCTACAAAAGACATCGTTAAGAGAATGAAAAGATAAGCCACATAGGAGAAAGAATTTGCAAAACACATACCTGTGAAAGGACTTGTATCCAGAAGGTAGTAAAAAAAAAAACACCTTTCAAAACTTGATAATGAGAAAGCAATCGACCAAATAAATGAAGGGTAAAAGATTTGGACACATACTTCACCAACAAAGATACACAGATGGCAAAAAAAAAAAAAAAAAAAATAAAGCATTTGAAAAGATACTCAACATAGTTAGTTATTAGAGAAACGTAAATTAAACCACAATGTGATACCACTGCAAGCACATGCATTAAAATGGGAAAAGTTTTTAAAAAGATGACATTATCAAGAGCTGGTGAAACTGTTGAGCACCAGAACTTCCGTACATTCCTGGTGGGATTACAAAATGATGAGTCACTTTACGAACTAGTTGGGCAGGTCCTTACAAATGTAAGCATGTACTTACCATAAGACTAGAAATCCTACTTACACATATTAACCTAGAGAAATGAAAACGTGTCCACCCCAAAACCTGTACATGAATATTTAGAAAAGCTTTATTCATAATGGCCAAAAACTGGTAACACACCAAGTGACTTTCAGCCATGGAGTGGATCAACTGTGGTACATCCATACAGTAGAATATTCAGTGATAGAAGAACAACCTATTCATACAGGCAACAGTGTGGATGAGTCTTACATGCATTGTGCTTAGTGAAAGAAGCCAGACAGGCTGCATCCTGTCTGATTCCATTTACATGATCTTCTGGACAGGCAGAACGACAGGTGCAGGCAACAGACCAGCTGTGCCAGGGCCTGTGGGTGAAAGGAGAAGGGGAGCACAAAGAGTCAGGAGGGACAATTTGGGGGAGGCAGAACTGTCCTATATCTTGATTTTGGTGGTGGTTATATGGCTTTATGCATTTATACAAACTCACAGAACTGCATTCTGAAAAGAGTGACTTTCACTATATGAAAATTGTATCTTCATGTTTAAAAAATTAAAAAATGGGACAATAGGTAAAAAGGCAAAAAAACTGATGATTGTGGAAGTTGAGTGATGAGTGCAGGAAGGTAAATAATATTGTCCTCTGGTGTTGCATATGTTAAGCATGGAAGTTTTCACAGTAAAAAATAAAAACAACATCCACCCGAGGCCTAATGGTCCCCTCTCACCACCATACCATCTCCAGGTTTCCTTTCCCAGAGAAACTTCTTGAAAGATTGGACTATAGACACAGTTTCACCTTCTCATTGTCCTTTCTGGCTTTTGTGCCCGTGATTCCACTAACTCATGTCAAGGTTTGTGTCACAGTCACCAATGACCTTCATGTAGCCAAAGCAAGAAGTCATTTTTTTTTCTCATTTTACCCCATCTTTTGGCAATAACTGTTAGTTTCTTTTCCTGGTTTCTGTGACATCATTTGAACTGTTGGTGTTCCTCCCACCATTTATGCCATTTTGGTTTCACTTGCTGTCTGTTCTTTGCGAAACCTCTCAACAGTGACATGGCTGAGGGTTAGGCCTCCAGACCCAGTTCTCTTATGTTTACACTGTCCCTAGGCAATTTCACTGGGGCTCATGGCTTCAATACTGCCTAAAGGCCTATGATTCTCAAATCTGTGCCTTTAGCCCTGTCCTCACCCAGAAACTTCAAAGTCATGTATCCAACATCCTACCCGACACCTCCGTTAGGAAGTCTATGAAGCCTCTCAAAATTAAAATACTCACAAAATTAAAATGGTTGCATCCTCATGCCTGACCCCAGTGTACACATCCCAGTGAATGGCACCCTGTCTCCCCAGTCACTTGAGTTAAAACTTAGAGACTGTCCTTGCATCCTCTCTGGGCATCTTCTTCCCTACC